TTATGTTTTTTACGCTCTTGTTTGTTTGTGTTTGTTGTAAAAAATAAAAAAAATATTAAAAAAAAAAAAGAAAGCGGCTAGTAGAAGGGCACCTGAGAACGAGGGGTGGGGGGCCAAGAGCTGGGTGGAGGCAGGGCCTGGAGTCCCCAAAGGGCGCCTGGGGGGCGATGGAGGCTGATCAGCGGGCAGGAGGGCAAAGCGAGAGATTCGGCGCATCAGCCGGCAGCGGGGACTCAGCACCTTGCAGGGCGCAGAAGAGCTGCTGGGGGCGCGGAGTTTGCTCTTGCTTCGCTGCGCCACCCCGCGGTTCCTCTTCTGTCCTTCAGAGCTTGGCCTCTTGGCCTCGTTGCTGGCCATGACCAGGACCGGCTGAGTTGAGGTTTCCTCCCCCCTCTGGTTCATCTCGTGGGTTTTTTCTCTGACTCCGTTTTGGTCTGGAATCTCTTTGGAAGTTGTTGCCCTTAGAAGAGGGACGTCCCTGAGGCCGGGCGACCACAGGGCAGAAGAAGGGCCGCTTCCTGTGTCTTTCATGGACGGCCCGGAGGCTGTGCGAGGCTGGAGGGGAGAGAAGAGGCTTCTACTTCTTCTGGCCAGATGGAGCTCCTGCTTCTACACCGGGGCTCCTTCTCTCTCTCTCTGGAGGGGATTGCGCCGCCCCGATGCAGCAGACCCGCAGATCAGTGGGGAGGGGTGGCTTTGCCCAGCTTTGGCTAGTGCGCCAGTTGCAGCCTTACTTGAACAAGAAGTAGACCTGGCTAGGGTGGCTCATGCCCTCATCACCACCGGACTAGACTACTGCAACGTGCTCTACATGGAGCTGCCCCTGAAGACCACCTGGAAGCTGCAGCTGGTCCAGAGGAGGCAGCACAGGCAGTGAGGGGCATGCCCGCCATGCCCATGTAACCCCTCTGCTTCGTGAGCTGCACTGGTGGCCAGTTTGCTCCTGGGTGCAGTTCAAGGTGCTTGAGATTACTGGAGGGGTCACCTGTCTCTCATGTCTACTCAGCTGATTCGATCTGGCAGGGCTGGCGCAATCCGGGTTCCTTAGATTAAACAACGCCATCTATCAGGACCCTGGAAACGGCCTTCTCGGTAGCAGCGCCTGCGCTCCGGAATGAGGTTCTCGCCCTTCCCACGATTTGAACAGCCCCTGCCCCGCTGGTCTTTTGCAGGGCCCCGAAGACCTGCCTCTGCCCAGCCTTTGGCGAGGGTGATTAAAGCCTCCTTTCCGTCTTTTTCTTCATTCTCATCTGGGTTTGTTACCTCTGCCTTCCTTGCTCTTTGATGTTTTGAGTTAGATTTTTTGCTTCTTTTTAGTTTTTTTAACAACTTGTTAACTGCCCGGAGCATCTGGGAGTCAGGCAGGATATCGCTTTAATAAATAAATAAATAAACAAACAAACAGACGTTTTCTTGTATAATCTTGTTTTGTGAGCCATCGAGAGTCCTGCAATTGCAGGATATAAGTCTGATTAATAAATAAATAATGGATAAATATTTTGTGGACTCTGGCAGAAAAGTTTCAAGCCCACACAAATCCCGATGGGGAGGGGCGGAGGAAGAGGAGGGCGATAGCACAAGCAGGCGGGATGGGGCTTTCCCTAGAGCCCAACTGGCGCAGGTCAGGCTTGGGCTGCACGGATGCTGCTTCACCCTGCGCCCCTCTTGCTCCTGGGGGCAGCTGTGGGGGCTGTCCTGCCTGGGGTTGGCTGCTGTGGTGAGTCCCGCCGGCTGGGAGGGGACAGGATGAAATGGGCTCCAGCTGTCTGCCTGCCCCGCCAGGGACCCCTTCTGGTGCTCCACCAATGCTGGCGGGGGGCTGCTGGGTGGGAGAAAGAGCAGCTTGGAGCACTGATCAGAATCTCTCCCTGCCAGGAGCCTCGATCACCCCCCCCCCCCCCCCCTCCCCCCCTCCAACACCTCCCCTCCCCTCCCCTCC